AATTAACTAAATATATTTATTAATCATGAATTCATGACAGTTTTCTGAAATTTATTAATTGCATGAATTAAATCTTATTTTTTAACACTTAAATTCATATATTATTTTTTTTAAATTTAGAATAATATTTTTAAAATTTAAAATAATATTTTCATCAACCCACAATAAATTTCACTTATACAAACAATCAATTTTCAAAATAAAAGATAAGAAAATAACATAAATGTAAGTATAAATAAACGTAAGCGGCAATTTTTGTTCATGGAATGTAGCATTACCTCTAGGAATATGATTACCAGAATGTAACATTATTTAACACATTACTAGAAATGTTACATTATTGTGTTTGGTTGGTTTGGCAGGAATGTAATATTACAATGTTTGGTCGAAGGAATAAAATATTACTGGAATATATATTTTATCAAATTGTCCTGGTGATATATTTCTTTTTAAACAAGTTGAATTTTGAATATTCAAATGAAAATATTTATATAATAATTCATATAAAATATATTATTTTTACATTTTTACATTTTTTAATAAAATTTATAATTTTTTTATAAAATTTAAAAGATAAATGGATTTAATAAATGGGTTTAATTTTATTTTAACCCCTGAATTTCATATAAAATTTTAGGTATGGTCTTTTTTGCAAATCTAAAACAGTTTAATGATAAATTTGTAATTTACCCTTCATAGAATTTTTTTATTTGAACAATCAGAAGGATGTTTTTGAAATAATAAATACCTAAGAAATTAGGGGAATGACATTCCCGATAAAACACCCACAAAATGACACTGTTAGGAATGACATATTACTCCTTATTGAGAATCTTTACAATCGAAACATAAGTATTACATTCTAGAAAAAACTCCTACCCCGATAATCATTTTTCCCCCATCCAAACAGCCCTAAGAGTTTATAAAAAATAGTTTTTTATACAATAAATTAAATATCTTTAAAGAAAGGAAAAGAGTGAGTTATGTTTTATTTGAGAGTACAAAGATAACAACCTCTGCAGCGATACAAGAAAGAATCCACAGACCAAAGCCGTACTTTTGGTTTGGTTTTAGCCCTCGTGAATCGAGGGTCAGTGTTTTCTCAGCTTTTCAGTTAAATAATCAAATAAAAATATCCTCTTTTTATAAATATATTTTTAAAATATTACTACATTAAATGCAATAGTTGATAGTTTTCAATGGATAAAATACCAGGTTGGCCCTCTGAAGGTAATTCAATTATCAAACAATTCATTTCTTGAAAAAAAAAATCAAACCAGAAAATTTGTGATTATTAAGCTCTCAATATTACAAAAATGCTGATCCCGTTAGTGGTCATTAATTAAACAGACGTTGAAGCCAATGATTGGCTGGAATTTATTTTTCTTTAATTCCAAAATTATTTTCCAAAATCCTTTAAAAAATAAATTTTATTCTTTTAATTTTAATGTTTTTTTTTAAAGAAAACAAGTTTCAAAATAATTAGATGCTGTCATATTAGATCAATTAACACCTTTGAGTTGAATCGATGTTTTTGTAATTTAAAGACTTATTTTATCATAAATTTTTAAATAAAAATTTATTTAATCCAATTTTTTAAACATAAACCTACGTTATGATTGAATTGTTTTGACGTAACTAATTTGGTATATATATATAATCTCAAGGAGTTTTTTTTAAAAATAATTTTTTAAAGAAAAACACAAAGTTGCACATTTCAAGCCATATGTTTTGTCCCTTTAAAACTATCTTTGTCTATTTATGTCCCTCTCTCCAACGGCATTGTCTTCGTCTGCTTGTATTTTGTCCATAAAGGAGTCTTTTCCTTCATTTCTCCTTCAAACAAACCACCCCTCGTAACTATCTTTTCATTACAAGATAAACAACACATTTACCAACTTACAAAAAAAAATCATATAATCCTTCTTTGTGATTTGTATGATACATGTAATCTATTAATGATTCGTTTTCAATTTTTTTAAAATGGTTTGATTTTGAAAAAAAAATTATGAGTCATTTCGGTGGTCTGAACGTAAAACTCTTAAATCTGTTGAATAGTTTATATATGGTTTAGGATGTTACAAAATCGAAATTTAACAATTTTATGGGTCGTTTCAATAGGTCGGAAAAATCATTAATTATATGATTTAAGTTGATTACATTAATTATGGATAAAACATTTTAAAAGTTTTGAATAAAAATATTATTCTCAAAAATTAAATCCATTGAGTAATTAAGTATTAATTACAAGAATCAAGGGTTTACAAGGAAAATATTTGTTTGGATTTTTTTAAAACTTTGCCATCATTGTGCTGTCACGAGCTATCATGGAAATGGTACGTCATCCTTGGAATGACACTGCAATCTTCTGGTTAGCAACACTTTAGGAAACGAGCATTTATATGATGTTAAATTAATAAATTATATGATTTGTCTAATTTTTATATATTTTTTCGCAAAATTCAAAAATATAATATTCGATCATTATCATTTTTATTTAATTAAGATATAATCATTGAGTTAATTTCTGTTATATTTCTAACAGTATCATTGAGTATATAAAATTAAAAAAGGTGAACTACATAAACGATGATTAATATTTTAGTAAATTTTTGTTTTTTCCATTGAAGTTTCAAAAGTAACAAATTGATCGAGATCATTTTATAATATATGTCTGAGAATGATCCGAACCAATACAGAACTCCACCGGCACAATAAGAAGCAGTCGAAACATTTTTATTTATATAATTCGGTATGTGAAAACTAATTCAAAGCCATACTTGCAGCTCTTCTTCCCTGCAGAGAATTGCTAGCAGCTTTTGTTTCCATGAGTCCATTCATTCAGTTTGCATCACAGGTCTTGGAATTTTGCTCAAAAATGAGATGAAGGGTCGTAATCTGTAATAATTGCTTCCCCTCAAAGAGAATTCAAAATTTTATTTTTGAGACCAATTAGGAAACGATGAAATGTAGATGCGTATAGGTATTCTTTATGATTATAAATTAGCAATACCAAATTTAAAAACATGTCTGCAGCAAAAAAAAAAGATAAAGGCAGCAGTGTGTGTGTTATCAGAGACAACCCATTTCCCCCCAGAATAATAGCAATGGAAGCACGGATTTATGAAAAGAGCAGGGCCTAGCATTCACTGTGGCCCAACCTTCAAGAATCCGATAATCCAATTAATTTGCACAGCTCCTGCTGCCGAATCTAACCCAATTTGGTAATGAGCCACTGAAAATTAGGACAAGTGTCGTTTTGGCCCATCCCCACCATGCTGGCAATGGCCAAGACCAGCCTTCATTTGCCCCACTCTGGGTTGGTGTGATGTGGATTGATTGGCGGGCATAAGTAGAACTTTGTTACATTATGCTGCGACGACAGTTGAACCGACACCGAATGTGTTGCCAAGAGCACTTGTCTTTGTCTATTACATATGCAGAGCTTGACACTGCGACAATTACCTGAAGAATGGATCAATTCCTTATAACCAGAAAGGTTCGAGTTTTCAATTTTCTTGTTTTTCAACAAATGAACAAACTTTTTAATATAATGCCGAGTTGCTGACATGGATTTAATTCTAAATTAATAATAATTATAATTCCTTGTTATCATATTTAGCTAAGTAGAAAGAAACTCAGTGGCAGCCAACAAGTAGAGTGGTTCTATACTTCTATTCGTGTTCTGTTTCGTATTGACTGTGAGCTGATGTTATATTCACATTCGTATAGTCGTCGGGCGAGTCTTCGCAGGGCCCATGTTATCGAATTAAGTGGTCCTATTAAGGTAATTTTCTCGAGTAGAGTGGTTTTATACCATTTTTTAGTGCTTAAATTACGCCTCAAAATTTAGTATCTAAAGATTTTTTTTTTAACAATAGGTGTCTAAGATTTTTTCGTTACACTTTTATGTAACTACAGTTTTTTCCGTTACATTTCTAAGTGTATATCATTATATTTTTTTATTTTTTTATTTTTTAATAATAAAAATATTTTTTTAAAAGATAAAAATTTAAAAAATAACCCTCCTCGCGTTATCCCTTTCCCTAATCGCTGACGTCGAAGGGTCACTACCGGTCAGGTTTTGTTTGGAATAGGACGACAAACTCAAAGGTGACGACTGTGTAATGTACAGACGACTGTAGCAGTCGAAATCACTGAGAAACAACAACAAAAACTTAGAAATTTGGTAACCCTTCGCAATATTTTTCATGACGATCAAGCCAGATTCATGGTGGTTGGGAAACTAGGTTTTGGTTGCGGTGGCAAGATGGTTCTAATGGTGTCAACTGTGACGGTCATGAGCCGACGGTGACCGATCGACGATGGACGATGGAAAATTTGAGGATTTTTTTATTTTTTAATTATAATATTATTATTTTTTGAATAAAATAAATTTTAAAATTTTATATGCATGACACGTGTCAGATAACAAACAAATTTAACAATCTTTATGGTCCAAACACCTAAAAGTGTGATGTTGGGAATGTTAAGCACCTATAGTTAGCACACACAAAAATTAAACAACAAATCGTATTTTAAGATATAATTCAAATACTAAAAAATTATAATAAGCCTTAAAATATTGATCAACTAATAATAAGTTGCTAATGGATCTTTTATAATCTATAAAATATTCAAGCATACATTTTGAATAAATGAATTAAAAAATATCATCCCTTATTATATTACTAAACTTAACTATTAATTATTTCTAGAGGTCACATGTTTGAGCACTAACATCTGTAACAGGGTGATTGAGCGTTCATTGTTAAATAGTTGAGAGTATTTAGAATAGATACCTAACTTTGTACTTACTTTAACTTAATGAAAAAAAGTTATTAATTATTTTTTTAAGAAAAAATGGATTCAGTTATTATTTCATTCGAATTTTAATTACGATTAAAAGTTTATATTGCTGTACATTTTTACTATCAAAATAGTTAGACATTTTAATTATACTTAACAATATAAATATGTTATGACTTATGAGTGTGATATTAAGAATTAATTTAATGGAATATCATTAAACCATAGTTTCTCAACTTGTCATATTACTCTAATGAATAAAAAAAATCTCGAGATTAATGGTGCACAAGCTGCATTTCTGCAGTTGGATGCTCGGTTTTTTGAAGCATCTTGGCCGCTGCTCCATCTTGGACTCGGAGTTATGGGGCGTTTATGAAGGCCTTCGCATAGCATGGGAGGAAGGCATCCGAAAGCTTTGGATTGAAGTTGATAGTAAAGAAACTCTTGCAGTAATTACTAAAGACCTAGCTTATCATGGAACCTCTTCACTTGAACCGCACATTCACAATTTGCTGCAACGTGATTGGGAGCTCAAGTTTTATGTTGTACCGCGAGAGGCTAATACAGCAGCCGACTGCCTGGCAAAAATTGCATGGAATCACCTGGGTGAAACGCTTGTTTTCCAGACCCCCCCGACTGCAGTGACAGCCATTCTTCATGTCGAAGCAGGCATGGATTCTAGTTGAATTGTTTTTCTAGGCTTTATAGGTCCTCTCTCTTTACATTCAAAAAAAAAAATGGTGCACAGACAGACAACAGAAAATACAGTACAGAACGTATTAGGAGTCGACGCCCCACAACAAAAGTAAATATCAAGTACATTCCATATCCTACACAAAAATATAGGTTTATTTTCTTCTTGAACGCAGGAAGCCATGTAAGAGACTTAGACCCTTCCATATCCTCAAATTCTGCAAATGGAGAAGCAAAGAACTCAGACCTTCTAACTTGGAATAACGGGCAAAACGGGAGAAATCAATTAATGAGTAAAGTGAAGAGAGATTACTGTTGGAATTCTATGTTGATGGAGTCAATAGCCATGTTGGTAATCCCACTAAAAGCTGTCTCGGACAGGACGATGGTGGTGGATGGAGTCGAAGGCTGAGACTGTGCAGTAGGAGCGTAATCGACAATCTTGACCTGGATCGTCTGGTCGGGAGCACAAGTCCCTGGTCGCGACGCACTGATGCATCGTACCAGGTATTGTCTCCCGCACGATGCTCCATTGTCCCATATCCCATCGCCAGCTGCTGCGAACAAATTGCTTGATGGAAACTGAGTTTGATCATCACCGTAGCACGCTGTCGCTGCACATATATGACATGATATGAGCTTAAAGATGCTGCTGTGGGTGTAAAAATAATCGATACTCACGTAGATATGGTGGGGTGTACTGGGCAGCAGTGCCAACATCGGCATGGCAGAAACGGAAGAGCTGGGAAATAATAAGCAGGCATGATACTAGTTGGGTCTGCATCCTTGCAAACAGATGATGGATGTGGAAAACAAAAAGAAGATTGTATTTTGTATATTATATTACTTTTCCGCCTTATGACCAAAACAAAAGAAGAATCCTCTTTTTAAGTCAACTTGATAAACTACGAATTTTCAATGGAGAAATCGAATCCAAGTTACTCGGAGCTTACTCCTCACGCGGAATGACATGATAAAGGCTGGCTATTTTACTTTGAGATAATGCCCTTGTATGAAAGTTGATTTATACCTGAAAACTACTCGATTAATCATCGAAAGGACATTAAAAAGCTTTTGGATAACCAAGCATGTGAACGATGACGTGGTGACTGGCATGCCAGAGACAGAGACAGATAACCGGCAACCACTGGTTTAAATATTACTCCATTTATTATACATCCATCTAATCTAATAACTAAAAGTTCTGATTTTTGACTTTCATATATTTAGTCTTGCGGTTAATCATCAACTATTCTCATGAATGCAATAATATCAAGAAGCGATATTAGTTAAGAGTTAAAACCACCACTGATCACCGGATCCTGCAGTTTAATATCAAGATTGCTAATTTAAACCTGCTACTTCAACCTGGAAATATTATTCATAAATTTTAAGTTAAGTCCTCTACTTGAAGCAAATTTGATAGACGGCCATGTCTAGAAAAGCAGATGTGTGTAGCCCGCTAAATGCCTGTTGTGCTAATATCCTATATGGTGAAAGCACGATAAATATAACAAAATCACTTCCACAGCTTCCGTAAGGACATGTTTTTCTCACTCTCCTTCTTCATCACCTTTGCCACTGCCATCTCGAAATCTTCTTGTGTCACATGGACTCTCCTTTCCCTCAAAGCAAACATCCCTGATTCTGTACATACCGCCTGCAAGATACAAAGAGAGTTTTGTCAAACTAGCACAAACAGAGACAGACAGTTCTTGCTAAGTTGTGTTCTATAATCAGAAGCCTATGGTCTTGCTAAAGTAGCAATTTTGATTATCCAACTTACGTACTAATGCACTGAAAACATTTAAAAAAAAACTTAAGTTACAACAGTCGGAATAAACCTCAGAGCATACATAACAAGATATCAAAGACTGGGATGAATTCTTGCATCTATCATAAATTACTAACGGGGAAGGACTATATTTCCTAGAATGCAGAAAGCAGGAAACATTTCAAATGAATCGTCTCTACCTCTGCTGCTTATGAGGTCGGGGGAAGGGAGTTAGGGATCTAGAAGAAAAGGATGTTATTTACAGCTTGCCAACCATATTCCAATCGGAAGGATGATATTTTCTTACCCAAAGACCACACATTCAACTTAATTGACTGGGCATCTGCAAACATACCTTAAGCTCTGCACCGGAAGCACCGTTCATCTTCTCTGCAATCTTCTTTAGATCAATCCCTCTCATCAAATTCATTCTTCTAGAATGTATTTTTAAGATGTCAAAGCGAGACTGCATATAATTGAACAGACAATATAAGTACCTAAAGGGGCATTGCAGGCTCCTCCAGAGCATTTTGGTACAAATTACCAGGTTCTCCATAGTACCAAAAAGGGTTGATGAAAAAGTAAGAACCTCAAAAGCTTTTGGGTTTTGAATGTAGTCCAAAATGACAGAGGAAGTTTCTATCGTATATTGGCAGCGCATTTAAAACAACACTTAGCATGATGAAATGAAACATTATATAAAATCAAGTGGCAATGGCGGAGTGGCATTGTATAGCCCTAAAATGAAAATTATAGACAACAGTACTAAAATGCTTGCAGGAACATAACAATGATGACATTAAATCGCATGCACCTCCTCATTAGGATTTGGAAATTCAATCTTCCTGTCAATTCGTCCAGGCCTAAGAAGAGCTTGATCCAAGATATCAATCCGATTTGTGGCCATAAGAACCTATTATTCAGTATATCAAAGCAGGTAAGGAAATAAAATAATAAATGTAAGCAAACTACAAGCTGGTCTTTCTAATTCAAACATTCTTTATTTCTGTCAAGTAATTAATACCTTGATCTTGTTAGATGCTTCAAATCCATCAAGCTGGTTGAGAAGCTCCAACATCGTCCTCTGCACCTCACTGTCACCATTGCCACTTCCAGATTCCATTCGAGCAGACCCAATACTGTCTATCTCATCCATAAATATGATCGATGGAGCATGCTCTCTAGAGAAGGGATACGAAGAACGGCAAGAAGGAACTACTTTAAATACAAAAACAAAAGCAGAACAGTGTGGTAGATAATTAGATAGAGGCAGTTCTACTTTGTTTTCCAGACTACATGAGAACTGGCCATTGGCTAATAGGTAATTCCAGATGCAAGAAACCAACCACATTCACAAAAGTTCCCTATCTTCCTCGAACTCTAATTAAACGGGATTAGAAACCACAATTCATATATAAGTGATACTTAAAAAAGAGATTAGAAACTAACCACATTCACAAAAGTTCCCTGTCTTCTTCAAACTCGAATTAAAAGGGATTAGAAACCAAAATTTCTATATCGGTGACATTTAAAAAGGGTTTAATTTGTTCAAGGACAACAAGCAAGGAAGAACCAAGAAGAAGAGCAAACCTGGCCATAACAAAAAGTTCTCTAACCATTCGAGAGCCCTCTCCAATGTATTTCTGAACTAATTCAGAACCAGAAACCCTGATAAAAGTACATTCAGTATGATGGGCCACAGCTCTAGCCAGTAGAGTTTTTCCTGTACCAGGCGGTCCATACAGCAGGACACCCTAGAAATTATGAAAGAGCAAATTTTAATCTCTCAATGAAACCACATGGGAAACAAATTGACAAAATTCTATAATTTGGAAGTATGATATTCATAATACCTTTGGCTGAGCAATTCCCAGACTTTCAAACAGTTCAGGATGTTTGATTGGAAGTTCTATAACCTGCAAATTTTACCAATTAGCAGGTGAAAAGTATTGGATCATTTAAGAACCAAACGTGGGGTTAATAATGGAGCCATAGGAGATAATGGGAAAACAAAAATGATGGTAAGCCATAAATGAACAAATAAAGGAAGTGCAAACCTCTTTTATCTCTTTAATCTGTTGGTCAAGACCACCAATCATGTCATATGTAGAATCTGGTACTTTTTCAACTTTCATAAGATTAACCAAGGGATCTACTTTGCTTGGTAAGACCAGATGAAGAACATAGCTGTCATTACGAAGAGCAACTCTAGTGGATGGTGTGATTTTTGTGATATCAATATTCTTATCAATATCGACAACGTATTTTCCTTCTGGATGAACCTAGACAAGAAATAATAAAAGAGTTAACAGAGTAAGATCGAAACACAAATCTAGAAATGACATGACATTACAGAAAGAGAACATTTACAGTTTTAAATTATGTTGATACCATGTAGTTAGTCAGCAACAAGATGTTATTCCCATTTTAATGGCAGAGAGAGAATCATGAAGAATCACATACCTTGACTAAGACCTTGTTTTTACCCATAACTTTCACAACCTCACCAACATAGGATCCAGGCTCCTGAAGCAGCTGCAGTTCCTCTCTTAGCATTCTCACTGACCACTATGAAAATATAGTAAGTAACTATGCAAGAAAAATGCACCAGAATGAATAAAACTTTCTGTTAAAAAGCATTCTCTTTCCCTGGTGGTAAAAAACAAAAAACTTGTTCCCTAATCATTGGCATGGTATTGTCAGATGCAGCAAATGCACTATCAAACTAAAAATGCAATTATGTTTGAACAAACCCATCCTCTTCCAATCAAAACGATTCTAAACGGGTAAATAAGAAGATAAGTTTATTATGCAGCATCAGCAATTATCGATATGAGCATCCCATTCCCAACCATGTGAAGTTTCCAATCGTACAGAAAAAGGAACATGGATCTATAAGTGTAGATTTTTTTTATAGGAATTGAAGGCCTCGTTAAAAACCTCCTTCTTGATTAAAGGAGGTCGTAGGGAAGCTCCTTAATCAGCAGAAGGAGGAAAAGAGTGCCTTAAGATTTCATTAAACATAAGAAAATACAAGAAACATCCAGAGAGCCACCCCCAACATAAACAGAACACCAAAAACAACCGAAAACAACCCTATACAACAACACTAACTCAGCCTAATCCACCTTAACTACAACAACAGCCTCAAATAAGACTGACCAGACTAAAAGCCTAAACTTGGCCTGAAAAACACCACAAAGCAAAAACAACTATTAGAAGCCAAAAATATCAGCTGACTCAATCCATAGAAGCCAAATTCTAACACAAAAGCCAAGAGCTTCCACATGATAAGAGTACAGAATAGCAAGCTTCGAAAACACTCTATAAGTGTAGATTATTGACCATTAAATGACGAGTTCCAGCTACGTTTTTATCCTACAAAATTGTGGCCATTGAAACTCAACCAATAATTTGCATAATCTTCTATTCAATCCAGTTGAGACTTTTCTAGATGATGTTTAATTAGAAAATATAAAAAGTCAACAATTTATCTCCATTGCAGCAACTAAAAAATTGTCAGATCTAGAACAAAGTAAAACAGACCTGCGAGATCAATATAATCCTTTGTTTCACATTTTATTTTTTCTATCAACTAACAGAAACCAAATCTCTAAGTAACTAGCGGTTGCATGCAGCACCTTAAACTCTGCGGATTATTACACAAAAATCTTCCTCTTGCCTTACTAACCTTTATTCAAACGTCACTATTTTCTCACGGATCAAAATAAAATGGAAACAATTTATCCTAAATGTGAAAAAAAAACAATTACAAATCGACAATCGCAATTCACCCATAATTAAAAAAAAAGACAATAAACGAAGATGAACAAAATTAAATTAGGGTTAGAGGACCTCGAGAATTGAGCTCGTTGCGTTGGGCTTCAAGTCGGTTGAGATTGTGTGTTTTTTGACGGAGATTGAGCTGGAGTTCGTGGATGTGTTGAATATAGTATTGCCGGAGGCCTTCCCCTTGCTTGGCGCCGCTCTTGGCGGTGCACATCTCTTCCGCCGACGCCGTTTGCTTCCTCTCGAAATCCACCGTCGCCATTGAGTATTCTTAATTCTAGCTTTTGTACTCTACTACAATCCCGCGGATTCTTAAGAAAGAAAGGGGTTGTCTTCGACAAAATGTTTGATTCTCACTTACCAACAAAAATGGATCTTTTGGTTTAT